GGTGGTGGTGATGGTGGTGATGAGGTTGATGGTAAGTGGTGATAATGGAGGTGGTAGTGATGGTGCTTGTGGGAATCCTGGTGTTGTACCAGTTGTGAGGGTGCTGATGGTGGTAATGGTGGTTATGTTGATGGCAACAGCAGTGTTCCTGGTGGGAATGGTGCTGCCATTGATGGTGCCAGTGATATTGGGAGAGGTTGATGATGACTGTGTTGGTGGTGATTGTGGTTATTGATAGACATATTCGTTTCAGGGATGGAAATGGTAGTGAATGGGGTGGGGTGGGCAGAGATCAGACCCCTCAGCAGCCTGGATCCCCAATGTCAGAGGCACAGGAGAACTTTAGGTTAGTCTTAGATGCTCCCACATCCTGGCCAGCCAACTTCTCCTTCCTCATCGCCATCATCCTGCCACAAGCTCAGCCATAGTTGTGGTGGGGACAGTGGGAAAGATAGAGGAGCTGAGGGGCCAGCAGCCAGCACGTGGGAATCTGCCAGGATCCTTCCTGGGGCACATGGGCATTGGATCCAGCTGAGATCTGAGGGTCCCCCTCAGCCTCCAGAGGCAGAACAATAGGCACTCAGAGACGTGAACGTTAGGGAGCACACAAGCGCACATTCACAAACATATCAGGCTTCAGTCCCAAATTCATATGTTGGGCAGTCCCCACGTGAGGTCTCGCAGAATGGGGCACACACAAGTGCACACACTGGCCAGACAGCATGTGCGCGGCCACTCGCCCGCGCACGCGCAAAGATGCGCGCGCTTCTCCGCTAAGTGAAACCAGCAGAGCCCAAGCCCGGCGGAGCCAATTGGAGACTCTTTGGCCTGGAAGCCCTCGCTGCTGCCGCCAAGAGACGCGGTCAATTAACTTCTCCCTGCAGCCAGGCTCCCTGACCGGCCTGCCCGCCCTCCCGACGGGCCCGCCTCTTCCCCGACCCGCCTCCTTCCTTCCCTGCCTTCTGGCTCTCCCGCCCCGACGGCTCTGCTCAGCCCCAAGGGTCGCCTGTTTTGGTGTGGCTGACGGCACGCAGCTCAGCTCCTTGAAGGTCTAAGGGGATACGGCTGTGTGTTCAGAGGAGTCCAAGCAGATACATCCTTCTCCAGGGAGCCGCAGGGGCCACAGCACTGCGCTGAGGTCTGAGGAGACACGGCCCTGACTTGGGGGTAGGGACGTTGTAGGGCATCACAGTCCTATCCTGGGTGGTCTCAGGGGATGCACTAACCCCTTATGGATCACATTGTTGGGGGTGTGAATCTTCCCAGGCAGGATGCTGCTCTGTACCTTCCTCCCAAGCCAGGGGACAGAGGCACAGATCCTCTCCAGCAGCTCAGGCAGAGTCCCGCAACTGATCCCCATGGGGTTTTCCTTTCCTCCATTAAAATGACTGGGTCCCAGTGGATGTGCAGGGAGGAGGCAATGAGGACACTCCTACAGAGAGATCATCAGAAGCACCTGTTGAGCTTCCAGTGGGATAAGGGCCTCCCACCTCACGCGGGTCCTGCGCAGTGGTGCCAGGTCCAGTCCCAGCCACCCGAGACCCTAAGCAGGGAGGGGAAGGGTGTCACCCTTCACTGGGGACAGCACTGACTGAGATGCTGGGCCAAGTTGGAAATTGATGAGTCCTAAAATCCCACAGGACTTGAGGGAATCCAGGCTGGGTTTGTCTCCTCAAGAGTTCACCACTTCTAAACCACCCCACCTCCCTACCCAGGTCCCCAGCAGGGTCAGTCTTGGGACACTCCTTCTATTCCCATTCTTGGACTGGACGAGAATGTCAGTAGCAGCAGCCTGCAGGGTTACTGGTGGACAGTCGGGACAGCCCTGGCCCCGGAGCCACAATTTCCCATTTGTCAAATGGGAACTCCAAGGCAAATTTTCCGCAGACTTTCCATATTCCCTCTAGAGTGAGAATTTTGGGAAAAGAGAGAAATCCCTAGGGAGATTGGATGGCTTGGGGACCAACTGCTGCACCTGGAAGTGCTGCCTGCAGTCTGACCTTTGGCTTGGCAGGTGGACGCAGATGACGTCTTTACCAAGGAAGAACAGATTTTCCTACTTCACCGCGCCCAGGCCCAGTGCGACAAGCTGCTCAAGGAAGTCCTGCGCACAGCAGGTGGGGTGGGGCCAAATGAGTGGGCGGGGTCAAATAGGGGGCGGGCTTGTGGGAGCCCAGGAGAGAAGCTGCTCAAGGGGTTGAAAGCGCTAGGAAAGGGTGGGCCTAGTAAAGGGAGGGCCAGGTCAAAGTGAGGACCCAAAATGGGAAGGGTCAGGCAACATGTTTAGGTGGCCTTTGGTATAAGTCCTGGGCTCAGGTCCCTGTGTTGCCTGCCTACCACTAGCCCTCAGACTCTGAGACACCCTCACGCTACGCTAAGGAAGACGTGTGTGTGTGTGTGTGTGTGTGTGTGTGTGTGTGTGTGTGTGTGTGTGTGTGTGTGTAGAGCCTTTGGCAGGATTGGCTAAAATACGCATGGACCTCACCTCTCCAGGTGGGGGTAGGGTGGTATGAAGGCAGCTGCAGGCCACATTGCCTGCAGTGGGCTTAGATTCAAAGAGGGGAGTCAGAACCAGGAGCTCTGAGGAGGATGACAGGCCCCTGAAAGGTGAGCAGGTCCAGTTTCCTTAAGGAAGAGATAGTCAAGCCAAGTCCTGAAGTGTTGGGGAAGACTTTGAAAGACACCACCTGGACAAGGCTCAAGGCAGAGGGTCCAGGCTGGAGAGAACTGGGGGTCCTTGGGGCTGGATGGAGAGAGGTGAATAGAGGGGTAGGGATGGGTTCTGTGAGTCCACCCATCAGCAATATTCACTGGGAAGGGGGGACTTGACCCTCCCACCCACACTGCATCTCTATGAGACCTTTACCATGAGGAAAGGAGGTACTGCCCAGTCTCTAGTTCCTGAACCCCCTCTCAAGCTATCCCCTCCCTGCCCCCTTCTTTGAATCCATTTCCTGGAAGCGGAGATGGGGCCTCAGTGGCACTCATCCAGGTCTTTGATGTCTATCTGTGTCTGGCTGATCTCATCAACCTGAAAAGGCCCAGACCCTTACTGACTTACCTCAGAGCAGCTTCCTCCACAAAGCTGATCCTTAGGCTGCTGGGGGCACACCCAGAACTCAAGCACACAGTGATACATCTACTTTGGACCAGTGAACTTTGCTCATACTCGTAGACTCGTAAGGTCTTTGCTGTCACAGCCCCACCTGCAGCTCCCAGTCACATCAAGGTGTGAGGAGCAAGTGAGCCCTCTCTTACTTGACCCTAAACTTGGTCTTCCTCCTAGTTGTGAGTGCTTGGGGAGCTCCTCCCTCTGCCCCCTTCCCGTCTGCCATGGAGCCCCTTTCTTCCCACTTTGCCCCATCTTGCTCCCCCACAACCAATACCTAAAGGTGGAAATAGGAAAACAGTCACAGCCATTCACATGGCATCCAGGTTGCCTGGATTCAGCTCTCCATAGAGCCTGACATGGGAGGGCCAGGGGTCCTGGCTTCGGCTGTAGCTAAAGGTACACAAGTCAGATAATGAGGATTTTGCAGCTAGGAAGAGAGACCTCCAGTATCTCTCTAATGAAGAGAAAGGCCAGGCGTCAGCTTAGGTGGTGTCTCCAGGGTCACTTGTAGGGGTTGAAACCTCTTATTCAGGTATCCTAGGACAGGGCAGGGATATGTGGATTTGGCTGTCCACTCTTGACAAACTGCACCCCTGCTCTTATCATCTTCACCACCAGCTTCCTCACCTGCATAGCACTCTGGCCTGGCTTCGTTTTCAGGGCATGAAGTCTCGGCCCTATCTCCCCTGTCTACTTTGGCCATGCGCCCCCTGGTGGACCCTTCACTTCTGCACGGCTCCATCTCCTGGGTGGGAGGCTACCACTCCTGCTCTGGACTGCTCTGGGTTGCCCACATTTACTGCTGGGCCCCTTAACTCATTCCACACTCACTTGGCATTCCTTGCCATTTGATTCAACCTTGCTGACTGGCTCCATCTTCTGATTTTTTTCTTCACCTAACAAGCACAATTCAGTTTGTGAAGTATTTCTTTGCCCCTTGTCTCAGATCTCACAGCAGCCTGGGTATCGGCAGCCTGGGCAGGGTCAAACCCCCATTTGTACAAAGTGGGGAGACTGAGGCAAGGGGGGAGTGCCCTGGGTCTACTGTTGTAGCACAGCTGATAGCTGTAATTCCCCTGATTTCTCCAGCTAACATAATGGAATCAGACAAGGGATGGACATCTGCATCTACATCAGGGAAGCCCAGGAAAGAAAAAGAATCTGGAAAGCTCTACCCTGAATCTAAGGAGAACAAGGAGGTTCCTCCTGGCAGCAGGCACCAAGGTACGCCTGTGCTCCCATGCATCCATCTGACCCACCTGCCCCAATGCTCTGTTCCCGTCACATGAGTTCCTGTGAGGCCACAGCACTGGGAGGTGACAGCAGAAGGGGGCAGCATGAGGAGGGGACAGGTGAGCTGGATGGACCCAAGGCTACAGGACACCTAGGATCCATGGAGAGAAAGGGAGGCATGGAGAAGGACAGAGACAGAGAAGTAGGGAGAGGCATAGAGACAGAAGGGACCAGGAGGTTGGGGACTTAGTTTGTCAGAGGAGGTATAGAGAGAGACACAGTAGTGAGGGCCAGAGAAAGAGAGCAGGATAGCTGCAGAGATGTGGGGACAAAAACAGTGGGACAAGGAGTAGAGAAGAGGAAAGAGGAAGAGAGAAGTAGGGTTGCCTTGTCCCTTAGGGAGGTGAGAAGAGACAAGCACAGAGCCCAGGCTGTGGCCACAGGGCCGGTTAGAACTGGCCGGGTGGGCAGTGGATTCCAGATGGGCCACATCTGGGAGCCTGTGGTCACCCTGTGGCTCCCCAGGGACTAGAGGGAATTGTGGGCCTGGCCGGGTGGGGCTGGGAATATGGCGCCCAGGACAGAGAGCCTTTCACCAAGCTGGGCGGGTCCAGTCCTCAAGGCAGCCTTCCAGGGAGGCTAGAGAGGCCTGTGGTTGGAGCCCTGCAAGGGGAGAGAAGCCGGCTGTGAGCCGGAGGCGAAATGGGGAAGATCCAGGGGCTGGGGACCCCAAGATCACTTAGCATTTCTGCAGTGAGGTTGGGGCTCCATAGTGAGATGTATCACCTTGCTTTCAATCTCATCAGTAGCACTTAGATTTGGGGGCATCTTCTCCTCCTATGGGAATCTCACAGCAGGTACTCAGGGCAGGCCTAGATGGTGGTAGGAGCTCAGACTGATATAGCCAATCTCAACTTCCCAATGAGGAACCCGAAATGCAGAGACACCTGTGTCTTTGGGAGTCCAGCTAGCACTAGAAACTAAACTTCCTGCCTGCTGTTCATTGTCCCTAGCAAAGGGTCACATAGGGAACTTCCAAGCTGGGGGAGAGTTAGTCTGAGAGACTGCCCTCCTTGGGAGACACCTTGACGGTGGTACCAAGAACAGAGAGAAAGGAGTGAGGCCTGAGGGAGCCCTTAGGCCAATGGCCTGTGATACATGACCTCACCAAGTTATTCACTTCTCTTGGCCTTTTCCAGACCATCTGAAAAATGAGGCCTACGCCAATACCTGTGTCATGGGGCTGTAGTAAATTCTGTTAAGTTAGATGGGTTCAGGGCATAGGAAGGACTCAATATATTCTCTCTAGAATGCTCCAAACCAGAAGTTTCTAGTCTTGGGGGGGGTGCGTATAACCACAGGGGTGTTCATGTCTCTGGGTCTAACCCATGGATTTGATTGTCCCTTGGTATCCCCTACCCTGACTTATCTGTCTACCTGCACAGGACGTCCCTGCTTGCCGGAGTGGGACAACATCGTATGTTGGCCACTGGGGGCACCAGGTGAGGTTGTAGGTGTGCCCTGTCCAGACTACATATATGACTTCAATCACAAAGGTAAGAAGACTGGCTGGAGGAGGGTGGAGAACACAGGGATACCAGAACTTGGAGTTCAGGATTCAGTGACAGACCTCTGCCTGCCCTGATCCTCCCACGGACCTACAGGCCATGCCTACCGACGCTGTGACCGCAATGGCAGCTGGGAAGTAGTGCCTGGGCACAACCGGACCTGGGCCAACTACAGCGAGTGCCTTAAGTTCATGACCAATGAGACTCGGGAACGGGTGCGAACCTTCCCCCTTCCCACTCTGAACCCCAGTAAGGCCACTCCACCCTATTGGCAACCCCTGACCTAGCCCCGACTCCTGCCCTTCACTCCTCCAGCAACCTTAACCTGACCCCTCTTACCCTAGCACCCACCCTGAGTCCCAGTTCTCTGACTGTGTCTCCCACCTGCACAGGAGGTATTTGACCGCCTGGGCATGATCTACACCGTGGGCTACTCCATGTCCCTGGCCTCCCTCACTGTGGCTGTGCTCATCCTGGCCTACTTTAGGTGGGCGGGGCGAGGGGCGGGGCGAAGCCGGGTGAGACGTGGTGGGGGCGTGGTCCGGGGGGGGGGGTCAGGACCGGTCGGGGTAGGTGGCTCCCTTATTCTCCTTCACAGCACCTCTTCCCTCTGCGGGGTGTCCCTACCTACCGCGCACAGCCTCGCTTTCTGCCCACCGCCCGTGCGTCCCCGTGCCCTCACCCACGGTGGTGTCGCACACCCCGCAGGCGGCTGCACTGCACACGCAACTACATCCACATGCACATGTTCCTGTCCTTCATGCTGCGCGCCGCGAGCATCTTCGTGAAGGACGCGGTGCTCTACTCTGGCTTCACGCTCGATGAGGCCGAGCGCCTCACCGAGGAGGAGCTGCACATCATCGCGCAGGCGCCCCCGCCACCCGCCGCCTCCGCCGTGGGCTACGTGAGTGCCCCTTCGACCGCCGGTCCCACCGCGCCCCTGCACCTCCAACCCGGCCCTCCTGCCTGTCTGCTGCTACCGCCACTAGCTTCAGGCCACCAAATCCATCTTCCAGGGACCTTTGCACTGCTCCACTCTGCTTGCAGCTCCCACACTCCTGCCTCAGCGCAGCCTCAACCACTCCACTTTGCCCCTGTGCCACCTGCCGCTTACAACACCCCACCGCCTCCCAGGGCCCCAGCCCAAGCCTGCCCCTCTCCCACCCCCCAGCGCAGTTAGACTTGCTGGATGCAGGCCCTGCCCTCTGGCTAACACCAGGTGGTCTCCTAGGCCGGCTGTCGCGTAGCTGTGACCTTCTTCCTTTACTTCCTGGCCACCAACTACTACTGGATTCTGGTGGAGGGGCTGTACTTGCACAGCCTCATCTTCATGGCCTTCTTCTCAGAGAAGAAATACCTGTGGGGCTTCACCGTCTTTGGCTGGGGTACGCAGGCCAGGTGTGGTGGGCAGGGTGGGAGTGCTGCGCTGTGGGAAGGCACATGTACTGTCCCTGACATATGGCTGCAGGAGGGAGACCTGCCCAACCTGCTGTTACTCTGACTCCATTGCAAGTTCAGGGAACATGGCTTGGCACGGGGACAGGGTTCATCTGGTGTTGGGTCACCTAGGGTCAGATGTACCAGGGGTTGAGGCTCAGCCAGAGGATGGGGAGGAGGCACTTTCAGGTTAGGATTCTGCTCCAGATCAGAGTGGGATCTTGTCACAGGTCAGCCTAGGGCTGGAGTTGGAGTCTGGACCCTTCTACCAAGTCCTCCAGGCTGGGCCAACATCTGTTACCAGGCAGGTGTAGTTTACCCCACCAGGAGGTGGGTCCATGGTCCCAGTCTCCAGAGCCAGAGGCTCAGCAACACTGGGCTACAGCAGCCCCTCTGCAGAATGGGTTCCTGGGACTCAGCTCTCCTCCCACCCCCACTGGCTCTGGGATCCAGTTACCGATAATTGTCCATTATTGTTGGCAGCTCCAGAGCTTGGCTGGGCTCCGGGGCAACTGGCCAGACTGCAGAGGAGTGGGCTGGTGGCTGGAGCCCTTCTTGCATTCAGCACCCAGAAGCCCTCAGGTCAATAGCCACAGCCTCCCTGGCCCTTGGCACACATCCTACCTCTGACCTCACCATGGCAGGTCCCAGAACTGGAGAGGCCTGGGCCTGGTTCCAGGAACCGACATAAACTCTAGGACTAGGAGATGTCCAGGTGGCCTGGAAACATATGGATCAGGTAGCACACAGAACTCTATGGCCCAGAAGTGTCACAGCTTTTTCTTACCATAAACCCAGGTCACTCCCTGTCTCTCCAAAGTATACCAGGTCTAGAATCAAGTTGTGGGAGGGGAGGCTGGGCTTCCTTCCCAGAGGCACAGCTCACTCAGAGGTACAGTGTGCCATTGGAGCCACTCAGGCCAGAATACTTGGAGACTCCCCTATGCCCTCTGCCCAGCCTGAGGTGACAACCAGGACCTTTTAAACCAGTTTTTTGGGAGGGGGGGGGTGGAGACAGAAAAATGCTTGTCATAGGCTCCCTCCTCATGGAGCTTCAAGCCCAGAATGGCACTGACATGGAAGGAGACAAAGGGCCAAACTGGGCTCTATGGACCAGAGCCCAGGGGAGGGTATTAGGGCAATTCATGCTGGAGTGTGGCTGTCACCAAGGAACCCGTGTTCCTTGATGATGTTCCATGATGAGGGTTGGGGCAGTGAGCTGGGGGCATCAGGGATGAGGGGCACAACATGGAGGGGCAGCATACACAACCCCTCACACACTGCCCCCCCTCCCCCGTGCCCACAGGTGTACCTGCCATCTTCGTGGCTGTGTGGGTCGGTGTCCGAGCTACTCTGGCCAACACTGGGTAGGTTCAGCTGCCAGGGGCTCTGACAGACCAGAAATATCCTGGTTCCCTTCTCTTCCATGAAGCATGGGGAGGCCCCCTGTATCCTAGCCCTGGGTGGCCCCAAGAGTTCTCAGTCCAGAAACTCCCTCAAAGTCACAGGAGACTACTTCCAAAGAGGCCTGTGAGGGTGGCCTCAGACTTGGCCACGTACAACATCCCTGTCCTGTGTCCTCAACAGATAATGTCAAAACAGAACAATTCTGGGACCTCTATGGGCTGAGTGTGGGCACAGGAGGGACCAGTGGCTAATGTCTCAATTTTACCCAGGTGCTGGGACTTGAGCTCTGGCCACAAGAAGTGGATCATCCAGGTGCCCATCTTGGCCTCTGTTGTGGTGAGCAGGGGTGGGTGGTGGTGTGGGCATGAGCCCTAGTGTCCAGCTCCTAACACGGACATATGTAGAGGCTATCCTGGACCCTAGGCACCAGAGCCCCAAAGACTTGAGGACCAGTTGATTCACACTCTGGGCCACGTGGGGAAACTGAGGGCCCAAGAAGCCACCTGGAAATGCAGTGGCAAAGTAGGGCCTGTGGCAGGGCCCATCCTTGCCCCACCCTGCTAGGGTGCAGCCTTAAGATGCAGCCTCCCACCCTCCCACAGCTCAACTTTATTCTTTTCATCAACATCATCCGGGTGCTTGCCACCAAACTGCGAGAGACCAATGCTGGCCGGTGTGACACACGGCAGCAGTACCGGTGAGTCTTGCCCACCATACCCTGGCTCCTCAGAGTTGGGGTGGAGTTTGTCATTGAGTGCCAGCACCATGCATGCAAGGGGAGCCAGGGGAAGCTCCAGCTCTTGGCTCCCTGGCTGACCCCACCCTGGCCCACCCAGGCCCTCCCTGCCCAGCAGTGATGGGTCCTGCCCTGCCAGATCCCACATGGGACCTCCTGTGCTGGAGCTGGGGTCTTATAGGGTGAAATAAACCCAGACCTCCCCTCAAAGAGCTGGTTGCCAAGGAACAGTGGGGTGGACAGTGGTTGGCTCCAAAAGCTCAGTGAAACATGAGGCAGGGGCCATGGGGGAGGGCATTGCATGCCAGCTGAGGGACCAGCACATGCAAAGGGTCCAAGGACAGGGGGACTGTAATTTGTGGTCCACTCCAGGACACTTCTCGGAACCAAAGAGCCCAGGTGACATTTTGCCTCCTGGCAGTAGCCATCCTGGGTGAACTGGGTTGTCCTCCCACAGTGGCCAGAGCCTCAGGCCTCTCTGTAGCTTCCGGAGACTGGGATTGAAGGGGTATGGTGGCAGGGTGGAGGAGTGGTGGCAGGGTGGGGGCAGTGTTTGTTGAGGGGAAGGGGTGTGGCCTGACCTGTCTGCCCTATTGGCCAGGAAGCTGCTCAAGTCCACGCTGGTGCTCATGCCACTGTTTGGCGTCCACTACACCGTCTTCATGGCCTTGCCCTACACCGAGGTCTCAGGGACGCTCTGGCAAATCCAGATGCACTATGAGATGCTCTTCAACTCTTTCCAGGTGCACAGCCCTGCCCAAGGCCACTGGGGGTGGTAGTGGATGGGGTAGAGGGGGAGCTGGACCTGACCCTGAGTACCTCTCTCCACAGGGATTTTTTGTTGCCATCATATACTGTTTCTGCAATGGCGAGGTAAGCAGGGGCAGGGCAGGGAAAGATGCCAGGGGTTCCTCAAGTCTTGTTCCTCTGTTCTTCTTCCTTGTTCTTTCTTTGTTCCTCCGAGAACCTCCCTGAGGTTCAGAACGTTCTTAAGGCTGAGATGACTCAGGCTCAGGATGTGCTAGGATTTGTGGGCTCTTCTGTCTCTGGCACAGCCAGTGTCTTCCCAAACCCAGAGTGAATTCTCTGAAACCCAGGCTGAAGGGCACAGCCACCTTTGGGGCCATTTGAGCCTTGTGGATTCTGGGTGTGAAATGTGTCTGCAGGTGAACACCACGTTCTGAGGATGATGGGACTTGACTTGATCTTAGAATTTTCCAGTAGTGCCCTATTCATTCAGTGTTGGGTGGGCATTGAAGATCAGAGATGGGGTACTGCTGGGGTTGTGGGGACATGGGGAAGAGGGGTCAGGAGCACATTCAACTTCCACCCTTCTACCTCCCCAAGGTACAGGCTGAGATCAAGAAATCTTGGAGCCGCTGGACACTGGCATTGGACTTCAAACGCAAGGCACGCAGCGGGAGCAGCAGCTACAGCTATGGTCCAATGGTGTCTCATACCAGTGTGACCAACGTAGGTCCCCGTGCAGGACTCGGCCTGCCCCTCAGTCCCCGCCTGCTGCCTGCTGCCACCACCAATGGCCATGCCCAGCTGCCTGGACATGCCAAGCCAGGGGCCCCAGCCATTGAGACTGAGACCACACCAGTTACCATGGCTGTACCTAAGGAGGATGGATTCCTCAATGGCTCCTGCTCAGGCCTGGATGAGGAGGCCTCTGGGCCTGCACGGCCACCCCCACTGCTGCCCGAAGAGTGGGAGACAGTTATGTGACTGAACACCAGGGGCTGGACTGCTGACATAGGTGAATGGACAGATGGACCAAGAGAGTGGCGGTTGGTTGGTTGCCCATTCAGGGCTGCACCAGGAGGAAAACCAGAGGGGAAAAAAAAAAAAAGAAAAAAGAAAAAAAAAAAAAGGAAAGAAAAGGAAGCAGTGTGTGGCTTCCTGTGGTCTCAACTAGGGATTCACTCAAGGAGGGAAGGGTCTGGGAGCTATGGGAGTTTGGGAGAGTTCCCCCCAAGAGTGAAGGCCTTGGTTCTCATGACCTAGGATGGACAGGCCTGGAGGGGGGTGTGCTCAGCATAGTCCTGCAGAAAGAGCCTGGGAGACAATGCTGTCAAGGCCCAGAAAGGCTCAAGTTGGCAGGAGTCACACAGTGGCTTGATGGAACTATGGGGTAGTCTGGCATAAACCTTCCCCTTCATACATGACTGCTGTCCTCACACTGGAGCTGACCCACTCCAGCATCAGCAGCTGCTAGGGGAGTACCCAGGACAGCAGGTAGAATGTGGGCTGCGATCTCTGCTCTGGCTCAGGGATTGAGGGGAGCCCAGAGGGCTGGCTGTGGTGCAAATCTGCAAGTCTGGACACATCCACTCATTATGCACCAAGGACAATTGCCATGTATTTCCACCGGACACCCACCCACCACCTGAACCCTACCTACCCCTATTTTGAGCCATACATGGGCCCCAGAATGGCTCAGCTCCTCAGCCTGGCAACCTGGACTGACCCAACTACATGCCCTCCCTGGGCTCTGGCCAGAATGAGCGTGTTACTTGCGCAGGCAGCCCTGCTTCCAGGCTTTTGCACAGACAGTGCACCTACCTCCCCCTCCCTCCCTATCCCAGCTCAAATGGCCTTGCCTTTCCCCAGGTACCCAGCATCCAGGAGAGCCTCTTCCCCCCTACAGCCCCAAACCCATACACTGGGAGATAAGTGAGGGATTGTCATGTCTCTGACATCAGCTAGCTTATGACACACTGTGCCTGGCTCTGCCTGCCCTTTTGAAGATCTGGTACAGCTATGGAGCACTGTGTGATGTGATTTGCTTGGAATAGAAGGAGAGGCACAGGCCAGGTCCTGAAGGGCCACTAAGGCTGAGCATCAAACACTCATGGATACTGGGAGCCACTGCAAGTTTTAGAGGCAGAGCTTAGACCTGTAAGTCTGAGTAACATTTAGAAGAGTCCTTGCTTCAATGTGGCAGCCAGAGGAGGCTGCACGGGGGTCAGGGGGGAAGATTGTGACAGAAGGTGCTGTTGTCATGAAGGACCCTGGGTGAGGCACTGGCTGGGGGAAGGAGACTTCAGCAGGACAGACCCCATTCCCTTCCCCAGGGATATCTATTGTTCCTGTCCAGGGTCTGGACTGGCCTGTCAGCTCAGCTCAGAGCTACAGAGCCTCAGACCACTGGGTCTTTCAGGTATCTCATCCTGCCCACCCCACAGGCAGGGTCACTGGGATTGACCTGAGTTGTCTGGGTCTCAGAGCCCCATGTCCCAATTCAGACTCTGTCAGAAGACTCACTCACCCTGAAACACTCAGACTGAGCATCCCCAAGACAGGGCTGGGTCTTCCCCTCCCCGCCCCCAGCCTCATCACCTTCCCTTTAGCTAGAGCCACCCCTTCCCTCCACCACCACAATATAGGGCTATTCTGCTTTGGATTAAATATGCCCTGGACTCCATCTCGTGTTTGGTGTCCCCAGGCAAGGTCAGAAACCCCCACCTCTGGTTGGATACCTTCTGGATGAGGACTGATTCTTCTTCTCAGAATGTTTGTACCCAAGACAGGTCCAGGTCCCCCCTTTAAACTGGGTACCATTTCCCCCTGACTGGATGTTCAGAATAGGACTGGACCTTTCACATCATTCAAAGGAAGACCCTAGCCCAGGACCAGTTCTCCTGCCTTGGACCGGGAGCCCCTGGGCCTGGGCCTGGGCCTGGTCTGGCTTCCACTCAGAGAGGCCCCCGGAGTCCTGCCTGGGCTGTCCAGGTGTTGGCAGAGGAAGTGGGAGCCCTCAGCAGGCCTGGCAGACGGTCAGGACCCTGTTTGCCTTCAGCGTCAGCTGGAGCCAGGTGGTCACTTCTCCCTTCAAGGCCTCATAGCCCAGCCAAGCCACAGGGAACACGTAAACACCAGCCGAGCCGGGTAGTGGGGAGGTAGGCAGGAAGGTGCTGAGAACCCCACCTCACAGCCTCCTTGGTACGGTGTCCAGGCACCTTTCAAACTGCCCTCGACTCCAAGTCCAACTGGAGGTTGGACTTGGGCTGCTCTCACCTGTCTTGGGCATGTGGGTAGGCCCTGCCCCTCTCTGGCCCATCTCCCTCAGCCTAGGCCAGGAGGACCTCCAAAGACCCCTGGAAGGAATGCACCACCTGGGCGCCCCTGTCCAGTCCTAGAACATAGGCCTGGCCTCAAGGGGTCACTGGCCGAGTCACCCTCTCAGCCCAGAGTGGGGGTCGCTGTGTCCACCCTCAGCCTGCAGCCTCTATCAAGAGCAAGAATGGAGCTGGCCCCAGCTTGGAGTGGACAGGCTGATAAGTCCACACACTTCAGTCCTCAAGAGGACAGAAGACAGGAGGAGGCTGAGTGTACGCTGGCTCTGCTCTGGCTGTCAGAAGGGAGGTGTGGCTGTGGGGACCCAGTTGGGGAACTCAGGGTATGGGGTTTGCTGTGCAGCTCTGCACATAAGCTGGGTTGGGTCCAGCTCCCTCCCTGCCCAAAGCACCCTCAGCCAGCTCAAGGCTGAGAAAGATCCCAGCCTGAGGCTACCATGGCCAACAGAAACAAGCCTTGGCTGAGGTGTGTCTGTCCTGCTGACCATGAGAGGCAGAGGGGTAAGGGACTCCAAAGCCAGGCAGGGTCCTGGGTCCTGGCTGGCTCAGTGTGTATGCTGTCTGACCCTTGTAAACTGTCTACCCTCTCTGAGCCTCAGCTTCCCCTCAGAGGTCAGGCCAGTGCTCAGGCCTCCTGATTTGAGTGGGCTCACAACCCTACATCACTCCCCAAGGTTTTAGCTACTCAGGGTGCCCATCCTTCACTTGGGCAGACTTGAGGTCCTCAGGCTCAAGGCCAAGACTTTTCCAGGTTCCCCCTTCTTCAGCATCATGGTCACCCAGGCAGCTTGGGAGGTGAGTCTGCCGGTGAGGCCAAGATGGTGGGTATAGATTCTATACAGATGCTACTAGTCCAGGGACCTGAGGGCCAGCCACCTCTCCCGGGATGGCTCTGGTTAGGAAAGAGTCCAGTGTCTGGGAAGCAGGAGACCAGGAGTCTAGACCTGGAGCTGTCCTTCCTGGCCTTAGCCTACCTGTGGGGAGGGTGGGGTAGACAAAGCCTCTTCGTGGTCCTGTATCTTCATGCCCTTCCCCCACTCTCAGCCTTGGGCTTTTGGGGGGCTGATTGCAAGGCTTCATGGTTTTCATTCAGTTCTCCCAGATGGTAAGTAGACAGACCATTGTGGCTAGGGATCACCCCCAGGTCTCCTGGGGTTCCTACTGGCTTTACTTCCCAGTGACAGGAGGGAGGGGCCAAGACCAGGCTGGAGGACAGGTTTCTGGGGCATGAGAGGAAGGGCTCCTGAACTCCTAGGCCCCTTTCTCAGCCCCTGTGGATCCAGTAGCTCTCCCCAACTCCCTTACCCCCCACTGCCTGGCGTATGAGGCCAGTTGCTGGCTCCTCTCCGCCATGCTGTGCTTGGTCAGACCAAGACAGCTTCTCCTGAGCCCTTCTGGCATTTGTAAGTCAGGGCATGCCCCACACCCTGGCCCTTGCCTGAAGGCCACACTGTCACACTACCTGTCCCCAACAAGCTCACTTACATCAGCAAGATAGAGGGTGCATTGTGCTCGAGTTTCTATGTGTGTTTGTAGGAATGTATGCACTTGTGTGTTTGTATTTGTGTCTGTTTGTGATTCTATTCATATGTAGACCTGGGTTTATGTTTGTTCGCATGCCTGTGTATATTTATATAGTATGTTTGTGTATGTCTGTGTGTCCGTTTGTATCTGTAGCCTTTAGTGTGTCTCTGTGTGTGACTGTGTGTGCACCAGTGTGTCTATTTTTGTTTGTATGTGTGTCTGTGTATGTGTGTGTCTATTTGTGTGCGTGTGTGTCTGTGTGTGGACCCCGTGGTCTGTGAATGCCGCCTGTGGGTGGAAGTTGGCTTCCAGAAATGTTTGGTTTGGCCCTCACAGTATTTTCAACATCTTGAGCCAAAATTTAAAAATCAGGATATTTCACATAAAAATTCAGCTTTCCAGCTTCTCTTAAAAATTCAGAAGCCCTGGCAGCTGTAGACCAGCATTCCCATGAGGCCACTCTCCTCCCAAGTTGTGCAGGGCTGGTCTCATCCTTCTACCTTCCTGATTTTTTTTCCCCTTGCAGTATTTGCGATTGAACCGGAGTCTTGCCTTGCTAGGCAAGAGTTCTACTCCTTGAACCATGCCCCCAGCATGGTTTTCACCTTCTGTAGTCTCATCCACTTCTCTTACTCACCAGGGCCTTAAGGATGGCTGAGTTTGGGACCCAGACTGGATGTGAGACAGTGTGTGTGTGTACACAGGCATGTGCACAGAATACCTCTGCACGTGTGTGAATGTGTGCATGTGTGTGTGAGGCAAGTATGCACAGGTGGCAAATCTTAACATGTTAGCATGTACATGAGTTGCCTGCATGTGCTCACGTGTGAAGTCTGCATGGGAGGAGTGTGCCTGTAAAGGTATGCGTGTGCGTGGGGGTGTGGCTGTATTTGTGGCCCGGTGGAGTGTGTGGGCCACTGTGGTCTGGCATGCTCTGCACCGGGGCCTCTTCCGGACTTTGAGGGGGAATCGGATTCCCGGCTTCTGGCTGGGCTGCCTTGTGGGATTTATTTCTGTCTCGGTGCCCACTGGAGGCCTGAGTAATGGGAACATTTAAAGAAAACCTGTAAATACATACAGAAAGGGCAGGCTGGCTGGGAAACTCAGCCTAGACACCCCTGCCCAGCCCACAGCTGCCAGAGACCAAGGCCAGCCGGAATCCAGAAAGGAAGTAACCTGAGATCCAGCATGCACACCCACTTGTGCCCGTCTAAGCTCCACCCATGT